AAAATATATATATATATATAATTTACATACTTTTTTAAATTTATATATTTTTTAATTTATAAAAGCAAAATTACGTTATGAACAATTTAAAAAATGAAATGAGCGAATAAGAACTAGTGACATCACAAACTAAGGCCGAGATTAGAAAAGCCGTCAATTTACCCGAAACTAATGCAAACTTTTATTAACGCCGAACGAAATAAAACTTCAAAAATAATAAAATAAATTTAGTTTTACTTAATTAGAAACTGAATTAGTAACTTATTTTTCTTTTATATAAAAGAATTTCATAATTACGTTCATTTGACATTAAATCGTCTTGTCATAATTGGAACAAAAATTTATAAATTTGCTACTTACATCGAAGCAATTATTGAAAGTAATTTTTAGAAACTTAATTTAGTTTGTTATTTAGCGTAAATATAGAAAACAAATTAGTCAATAAACGAAAATCGATTTTGGAAATAACAAGAAAAATGCGTTTCGATGCGGGGGCGCTGTCATCTGGCCTCATGTTTTTAATTTTCTAATTGGCATGTCACGTGATGTACAATAAGCTTGTAGATCGGAAGGAAGGAAGATGAATTAGTCATTTGTTTTTATTTTTATTTTTATTTTGTTTTCATTTCGTTTAGTATAATTTTCACGGTAAGTTTTATATTTTTCTTTTATTAATTCTCTATTTATATAATAAATTCATCAATAAGCTAAATGGTAACAAGGTAATTAAATATTAATGGGTTAATGTCATTAAATTTTATTTAAAAAGAATGTAAGATCTGATGATAAATTTTGGATTAAAAATATGTATCTGTTGCTTTTATTTTTTTAATAAAAAAAACAACAGAAAATAGGTCATCCTTGTGTAGATTAGCCATTTATCAGCTGAGATATTCCTTTCATTTTGTGGTAGAAGTTACTTTCAGGTACTTTATACATAACTTATACATAAACAAATGGCCTAAAGTTAACCCCTACGAAGGTTACAACTAAAAAAACTTGTGTGGATGGATACCTGTGGATTTGTTAATAAGCAAGAACTGATTAAAACACAAAAAAACAAAGTAAAATATGTTTCTAAAGTGATAATATTTGATAACCATCATCTTAGAATTAGATAGATATTTAAGGATTTTTTTTTCTGTTGATAATTGGCGATAGGTTTGACAATCTGAAAATTGTTAGGTGAGTAATACGATTACAGTTGTACAGATTAAGTGTTGCTACCACTAAGCCAGTTTGAGGTATGTGTCAAACAGAATTAACCTTCGTAAATATGTATTTTTATAGTCTATCTCATTTCTTGTTATGTTTGCTATGTAATCAGATATACTCGTTGCTTTTCTTATTTTTTGTTTACGTAAGAGAAGGATTTGTGTTTTGGAATGTTTCCCTAATTAGCTATTTGATCATCGGTGCATGACTAACTTGTAAGTTGTAGGCCAAATGAGATGAATCATGTATTGATATTTAGTGAATCCGGCAAAACTTTCTCAGAATTGAGTCAAATGCTCTGGATTCTTTTCAAAGATAGTTTTTTCTAAAGGTTTATTAATGTTAATATATTCTTTACATTAGTACTAGATTATTTATGGATTTCTGTTTAGTAAGTCCTGAAAATTGTTTTAAATTTAATATATTAATATATGAATTAAATATAAAATATAGAAAAGTATAATACATTAAAATATTTTTTTTATATTAAATTTAAATGCCAAACAAATTGCCAGATTGTTTATTGAGTTATAACAAAGCTAATTTAATGATTTGATATAAATCAACTTAGTTATAGGTAGGTGGTTAGGCTGCCTTTTAATGTAAATTTAGAATGTTCTGTAAGAAAAGATCAGCCTGGAAGAGGACTCAAAAGCTGCAACTTCTTACCATGCAGGAGTTGTGAATTTAATGATTAGATATAAATTGCTTTATATCTAATCATTAAATCAGCCTTGTTATAAAATGATAAATAATCTGGTAGTTTGTTTGGCATCATTAATTGAATTGGGTTGATGTATGTGTTGTTACATTAAATTTAAAAATAATTACATTAAAATTTTTCAATTATAAACTTTAAAATTTGATGTAAAATTATTTAGTATATAATAATGTCAGTTACAGTATCTATATATATAACCCATTCAACGGGTATCCGTCTGTCTGTCCAATAACCGTTTGATAACGGACACTAGAGGCACCCCTATCGTGTGTCATATTTCAAACATTCAAATTAACAATTTTAATTCTTATTTAAATTAACAATATAAATTATTATTATTCCTTTGGTCAATATAACAATATAAATAATTCAGTATATTTGTAATAGGAATTTATTATTTCAGGGGCTTATATCTCACGAAGGGTTGCAAATAGNCCCTATAATTACGATTCCTATAAAACTACGAAAAAATATACGTATTTTGGAAATGTTGAGTCGGATTAGTGTAGAATCGATTAATTTTATGGAAGAAAACCTTTCAATCAGCCGTAGTCCGTAAACTTGACACGTGTCGGGCTGTGATTGGAACGACTTGTAAGAAATCGAATTCCTAATAAATTGGAACGTATCTATATCTTATAGGGGGGACGACCGTATCAACAGTGTTATAGGGGGTCGACTGTATTCCACCCTAGAAAAGTTGTAAGACTGGTGTGGGGACCTGCTTCAGTTCATTCCTATCTGACTTTTATATTTGTAAAATATGTATCAACTGGTCTCTCAATGTTTCTTAGTGTCTAAAATTGTTAATTTGACCTTGAGACCTTTACCATTTTAGTTGGAAGACAGGAAGTGGTTGATTAGCAAGGGATTAAAAACTACTTGGGACTAGTCATAAACTCAGAACAAACTCATAATCCTTCAAGTTACAAATAATTAATTTGTCTCTTTGTAACAAATTAAGCCTTCATTTGTTTCAAAGGAATTTGTTCATTTTTTATTCCTTTTATTCAAAGGAATAAAAAATGATTCCAAGAAAGATTCATTCTTATTAGATTAGCAGACAGAAAAGATATTTCTTCACAGTCTTACATGTTTTAAAAATCAATCATTTGTCATATTTCATTTTGAAACTATTATTTCTATAGCTCTAAAATTGAAATTAAGAATTATCTTATTTTTAAAAAAATATTTACTGATATAAGATATCTATTACTAGTGATTTGACAGTGTGATAGTTTCAAAATCTATGAAATAAAATTCTAGTAATATTCAAAGCTATTATTAGATAGTATAAAGTTTTTTAAATGTTTAGCAGGAGAAAATTGGCATTTTTCTTTTATCAAAGTTACTTTTAGTTAAATTTTATTTATAAGAAAATATCTTAAAAGTAACTTATATCTTTTCATTCGTTAAAAAAACAAATCTGTATTGATTTTTAGAAAATATAAATTAATGTGAATAATTAATGATGTTTTAATTGAATAAAGAAAGAGTTTATTTAATATTTTTGTTTATTTTTAATATAGATGTCTGCTTAGAACAATATAAAAACTAATATAAAAATTTATATTAACAAAATTTTTATTGGACAGTTTTCTTATTTAGTTTTTTAACAAATAGATTTTAAATTTTTTCCATTAAATAATTTGATAGGAAAGTCATTAATGTTACTGTATGTATTTGCATTTTATGACTTTCATATGCATTATATATACAGTAGGCACTCAATTTAATGGACTGATTGGGAAAGGGGGTGTCTGTTTTTCTTGAAAGTGCATTAAATTGAATGTGTTTTAAAAACATATATTAGTAACAAACCTACAACATAAAGGATGTATTAAAATGTTATTTTAATGTATAAGCATGAATAAAATATCATTATAATGTACAGTACATTAAGTAATACATAATCACTGAATCTCTTAACATGCTTTATCCACAAAAAAGTTTATAAATTTTTTCTCTGGGACAGATAATTTTTGTTTATTAAATCCAAACTCCATTAAATCAACAGTCTACTGTATTCATTTTAATGCTTGACAAAAAAAAAATTCTAATATTCTTTAATAGAATAAAATATCCAATTTCTCCTGATCTTTGTCATAAAAGAACTAATTAATTTGCATTATTATTGTTACCAGAATAACAGTCAAAATGATGTATACTGAAATCTGATTAATATACAAAATTTTCAGTAATTTAAAAAAGAAATTTATAGTTTTTAATAATTTCTGACTGTCATATTTTTGTGCAGTAATCCTCAAGTTAACTGTGTTTAAAAAACATTTTGAAGGGCTGTGGTTATATATAAGTTTTAAATTGCAACCACAGATTTGTGCCTATGGAGCATTAGTTGTTCCCATAAGTGTGGAGTATATGGTGGGGCAAATTAGGGAAATATTTTATTTTTTTCTAGCAAATTTCTGTGCCATTGTGGGTTATTTGTCACCACAGGCAATACAGATGAAAATATGGTAATACATTTTTTTTTTCTTTTATGCAGGTGAAAATATTTCAACTGTGATAATGACATGATGCAAAGTGGCTTTTGGAATAACCTCCTCCCAAATTCAAATGATGGTATTCAATTTGAAAATATAACAGTTGATGTAATTAATAAAGGTTGCTTTGGTCATTTTAACACCTTAGCGTGTTTCAGGTAAGTTAATTTTATTAAAAGAGTATATGTATTATAAATGTATCCCAACAAAAGTTATATCATGTATTATGAGATGATATATTAATGACATATTTTGGATCACACTGCCAGGTATACATAATATAAAGTGAGACAACCTCAAACAATCAAAAATTTGAAGTATACAGAATATATATACGATGGAAATCAGTAATTTGTAAAGACATTAGACAACGTAGTGTTTATTTTATTGTCTAATAAGTTAAGGTACATATCTAAATAATACATAACAGCATGCTAAGAAGTAGAGAAAATTATAAAATAGTTTGCAACTAGACAAGTCCTGACAGGTTATGAAATATGAGACATTCAAATAGATGATAATACATCCACTACATTATATTAAAATATTACTTTAATAATGATAATGATAATATGGTTCACTTAAAATACATGATGTCTTGTACAATATGGAGAAGTTGCAACTATATCTAGAAATATTTGTCATCTCATTTCACAGTACAACAAATTGAAAGCCAATGTTAGACTTTTTGGTGGGCCTGCAATTTCAGTTTATGGTGTTTCATCACACACTTGATTCTAATTACCTAAATAGATAATTTTTGTGCATTCTGGTTGAGTATGTATATTTTGGCTTAAGGATGGTAGTACCTCGAACTTCAGAGACTACTATAATTTTTGGATATTTTGGTGGTAATTCTGTTCACCTCTGACCAGAGTTTTTAATGTATATTAATGAACTAACAATTGATTATCATATCTGATGGAAGTCCAAAAATGGTGTCATTGTCTTTCTTGTATATTAAGTTGATAGCCAGAAAAAAAACTGTAAAGAATCTCAGATAAGCCATTAAAGACCTAATCAGAATAATTTCTTTAAAATTGCATTGAGTTCATCTAAAAACGTTTTCCTGTGAAAATAAAAATTACACAAAATAATGATAAAAATGATACATCTACCAGAAATATTGTTTTTAAAGGAGTTTTGTGATATACACTAATTTTTTCTTCAAGAAATATTAAACTTAATAGTAGTAATTTCATTTCATTTTACTAAACCTCATATAATCTGTCACAGGCAAATTTACTAGTAAATATAAAAGTTTAAAGATTATTAAAGTTTTCTAAAATTTAAACTGTAAATTATAAGTTACCGTACATGTTAAAATTAAATCTCAGAAAGAGAACATTGTGTAACAACAAAATTTGACAATTTAAAAACATTTTGCAATGATTGGTGGCAATCTTTAAAACTGATTTAGGTTTAAGGATTGAAAATATAATTTACAGTTTGATTTTTTAAAATATATATATTTTTTCTTCATATTATTTAAATTTTATATAATTAATTTAATATCTGGAGAATAAATAATAAAATAATAGATAAAGGTGGAATTTTTTTTTGTTACTTATTAAATGTTTAAAAGANAAATTGTTGGAGTTGCACTTTAAGTGGTCCTGGCTATTTCTCTATATATACTGCTGGCCAAGTAAAATGCAACACCATATAGGCCTCTAGATATTGCAGGTGTTGCATTTTACTTGGTCAGCAGTGTATATACCAGGGGTGGCCAACCTGCGGCTCGCGAGCTTCATGCGGCTCTTTGAAGGATTATTTGTGGCTCTCGATAGATGTACCCGAGTTCCCTTTTCATTTTTGTGTTATTATATTTTTAAAAATTATTATCGTTCCGTATGTGTTTCAAAATGTCTTTTAAATTACTAACAACAAATATGAAAGACTAAGTGCAACATTGTAACAAATTTCATTTCCGTCCAAGTTAAGAATGATACAACTCATCAAAAATAGCGCGAATGAACATAAACAGTGGCGTAATCGTCCGTTATCGACCGACTCCAGACCGATTTTGAATTTGTGAACTGTCATTGGAACGGACAGTTGACATTGTGTTCTGGAGGAAACAATTTGTATCACTCTTGCTACGGATATAATTTGTAATCTGGAATTTTTTGCATACCTTTTTAATACGTATTTAATTGCGATTTGCGAAAAATTTCAAATTTTGAAAAATGGCTCAGACTATCAAGGAGCTTGGCCACCCTGGGTATATACCATAAAAATAATCTGTTGTTAATTAATTTTTTAGGCTTCTACTTTAGTATTTTCACTGTTTTATTATTCTACTATTCAACAATGTAGGTGTCCAAGATTGTTATCTGTTGTTATATGATAATTTTTACCTATTAATTTATATTTATTAAAATTTAATTATAAAAAGTCCTTGAAATTGATTAGTAATGAACAGTTATTTAAAGAATGTTCATTGTGATATACTAAGACAAGGGTCTCCAATCACAGCCCAAAGCATATTTATCCAGCCCACACAGCTCATTTTTTTTTACTGATGTCCTTTACTATAAGCATTTAAACAAGTTCAAAGCATATGAACTATTGAAAAGTAGAATAAATTAATAGACCTAGCTATAAATGATTTAAAAAACTATCTAAACAAGGGATTTTATTAAATTTTTAAAAATCTCTGCCAGAAGAGAATTTTAAGTCTTAAGAAGTTTTCATGGGAGATGTTTTCTATTATTGTTTCTATGTATCTTTGAAAACAAATTTTTTTTGAAAATGAAATACAGTATATAAAATCAAAATATTGTACAACACTATAACAAATATCTAATAGAGATTTTATTATTGAGTGCCACAAGATATATCCCTAATTTTGATAAAATTATTTTGAAAAAGCATTGCAAATTTTATATTGATTTATATCTGTTGTTGTTCAGAAATAAAAAAAAAAACTATTAATAATCTTTGGCTGTACCTTTTGTACCTGGTCTCCAGTCAATCATTCTCAGAAAAAGGTTGGACATCCCTTCAATAAAATGAAAAAAAAAAAAAGTTTTATATGCAAAAGATATATACACAATACATCTTTTGTTACAGCTGTAGGAACACTTAATATAAAGAAACATTACAGATATAAAAATCATTAACCAGATTGACACCAATTTACCTAAATAAAATCAGTTGGTGCCAATAATCATTACATGTGGAAACCCAACTTTATTTAACTTTATCCAAACTATACCAAAATTTTCATTAAGTTATTTTTAAATTGGTCAGAAATGAACTTTTTAATGAATTTACAATAGAGATAGGCTGCTACTACATCATAACAACTTAATAATTAGTTTTAATTAATAATTTAATAAAATCTGAGTTTTAGCATAACTTGACTCTAACTAAAACCAAGTTTATTATTATTATTATTATTAGACCTTATTTTATATAAGAGATATTTAATGGTAGTTTAAGTAATTTTAATTATGGTTGAATAAATTTAAAATTTATAATGATTAGAATAGTATTTTCAATTTTTTAGGACTGGAACTTTGACTGTCTTGGGTATTTTTACTTTATTTTTATGTATTTATCGTGTTGTACGATTGCATACATTGCATCATCCTCAAATTCATCAGTTCTTAATATTTTATTCTGCTTCTTTGGAATGTACTTTATTGTGAGTATTAAATAATTTAATTCTCTCATTAATCTATTAAATGTAATTAAATTAATTGATCATAATTTAATATTTTTCAGAATTGTAAAATGGCTTATTGGAATACATTTTTCACAGTTGATGTTTAGTGCTAGAATACTTCGCTTACTTCAGTTTATATTGCTATGTCATTTTCAATGGTCTCTTGTTACACGTATTCTTCATTATGAAAGGCTTATTACATGGTGAGTTCATATTAATTGTAACTCATTTTATACATTTATTTTACAAAATTAGGCAATTGCTTATAAAGCAAAGTAAAGCTAGTAACTAGAAAAACATGTTTACACTAAGTGACAATGATAAACACACAGTCAAACAAAGTAAAAAATATATAAACAAAAATTACAATTAAAAACATATATATACTGCTGGCCAAGTAAAATGCAACACCATATAGGCCTCTAGATATTGCAGGTGTTGCATTTTACTTGGTAGCAGTGTATATACCAGGGGTGGCCAACCTGCGGCTCGCGAGCTTCATGCGGCTCTTTGAAGGATTATTTGTGGCTCTCGATAGATGTACCCGAGTTCCCTTTTCATTTTTGTGTTATTATATTTTTAAAAATTATTATCGTTCCGTATGTGTTTCAAAATGTCTTTTAAATTACTAACAACAAATATGAAAGACTAAGTGCAACGTTGTAACAAATTTCATTTCCGTCCAAGTTAAGAATGATATGACTCATCGNACCGTGCTTCATGGAAATTTATAAACAACGCCCACTAGGGGGCGTCCCGGGCTACTAGTATATTATAAGCATGTCATGATCAGTTCAGTTTCCAAATATAACAATTTTCATATTTAGATGCATGTTTATTTTATATGTAAATATGGAAATTAATGAATAGATGTAAACAAAATGTAGTTAACAGATATTTTATAATTAAATATTCAGCTACAATATTAACAATTTTATTTATACATTAAATTATCTTTAATCAAAATTATAATAGTGTTTTGTAAAATTTTCAATTGGGTATTATTTGATTTGATAAATTTTGATAATAAATTGAAATAAATCAATTGATTTCTTTATTATATAAATTTAAATATCTTATATGAATTTTAAATTTCATTAATTTATTTCATTTTTTAAATTTAGTATTTTAAATTTTTTTTCTAAGTTTTCAATTTAGATAATACTAAGTAATAATATGTTATGTTATATTTGTAATTTCCTGTTTAACAATATTAAATTTTAATGACAAGTTTTAAAATGGTTTTTGAGTTTATTAGTTACCAATTTAAAAAATTAAAATATGGAAACATATATTTTCATATTCACTAAACCAAAAACTATTTAAATTTGCTTAAAAAATGTAAGGCTTAAAATATTTATTATTATTATTTTGGAACAGTTTAGTTATAAATTTTATACATTTTAAATAAGCAATTGTAAGAAGAATTGTAAATTTTTTAAAATAGATCTAAAGCAATTATGAACGTTCTCTTTAGTATATAGAAATTTATGCATAAGGGAATCTTCATAAATATCAGAATATTTCCATTGTGAGATGTGGAAACTTTCAATATGCTACATAAATATTTAATTTGAAATGGACTTAACTTCAGCATTATGCTGTTTCAAAAAAGTATTTATTTACATTTAAAATAAAAAACAATTACAGTATAATATAATTTAGTTTATTATAAAATGAATTATGTATTTCCAGAAAATTAAAAATAAATATATAAAAAATGCAAGTTTAAATTAATAAAGTCATACCTCAATAAATTAATTCAAAAGATTCTTCAAAACAAATTTATTTTGAGAAAAACAAATTAATCTCTTTCTCATTTCTATCACAATGCACATTTTATTATTTTCTTTAAATTTTATTAAAGGAACACTGTATCATCTAGAGCAGAGGGTATTCAGCCTCAATTTTACATCAACATATATCAGTGTTTCTCAATGGGGGCGATATCGCCCCCATGTGGGCGTTTTTCCATGTTGAGGGGGCGATTAGTAACAATTTATATTTTGGGGGGGCAAAAAACAATTTTCTGGGCGATATAGTAAAACATTAAGGATATAGTAAAACATTAAGAATAATTAGATATTTTATTCGTTATATTGTACAATAATTAAACAAACAACATTATACTAGTCACTAGTCTATTCAATGCAGTACAAATTTGGCGTTAGTCTTGGCCCTCAACATTGGTATTTTGTAGTGAAGAGGGCGATACTACGTAACGGTTTTACTGAAGGGGGCGATACTAGGTTGAAGGAGCGACGATTCGTTAGAGGTTGAGAAACACTGACATATATTATGAACAAGATAAAAAAAAAGGAAGTATATAACATCATATCTATAATATGTAGCATATTTTTTCCAAGCTATTTATTTATATTTGTTTTTTTTTTAATTTATAAAGATAATTTTCTAATATTTATAAACCCACATTAAATTGAAATATGCTCACATGAAATTTTAAAAATATTTCTAATCAGAATTATAAAAAACATTAAAAATAAACCAGATATATGAAATTTATTACTATTATGAATAATAAATATCTTTATATTTCAGAACCACATTGGTTGTTGTTGTCCATCGTGTCATTTGCTGTTGTTCAATTATTCATGATTTCTGGTATATATATTAATAAGAAGATTAATGATGTTTCAGCTTTAGAATCACTTAAAAGACAACAAAAGAAAGATTTGTGGAGGTGAATTATCATTTCAAGTTATTTTGTATATTATATCATTTCATAAAATAAGTTAGAATTCATTACTTTAGAAAATTAAACATTGTGACAATAGGCTTCTTATAAGGATTTGTTGTACTGATTATTTAGTTTTATAGCATATTTTAATGAATTTTAAATGTACTGTTCAGCTATTGTTTGAAAATAGACTAATTTTTATCTAGCAAAATGTATTTAAAATTTTTCAGGAATTTATTTTGAAATAATTTAATTTATTCATGAATATATTTATAATCTAATAATAATATACAGTGTAGTCATGAATTATTTGTTTGCTGTGAATTATTAAATTTGAATTGTAAAGTTTCAATTAAGCATTAAATAAAATATTTATCTCTATTCAATAGACAATTGTTAGGGAAACAGCTGTCTGCTAAATAGCTTTAAATTGTAAGAACATTTTTCTTTGAAGAATAATAATAATAGCTAAATCCATTGAAAATGTATTGTACATTTGAATACAAATATTCAATTTTTTAGACTTATTGATTTTAAAAATAGTAAAATATTTTAAATCTGATTTACATAATTTAAGTTCAGCATTTCTGAAAATGTTACATTATCATTTTAAACTGTAAGAATTGTTTTTGTAGCCACTTCCAAAGGCACTTTTGTCACCTAATTTAAACAGTTTTACTTTACCAGCTTGTTATGTATATAACATGGAAAGTATTGAATCATGCCAAATTTGACTCTGCAGTTTTTTCAAATCTGAATATTTTGAGATTCCTAAACCCAAAAAAAGTAAAATACTAGAGCAAAAATTTCATGGATGTGTTTGTGTGTGTTGGCATATATTTCATTTAATATCTCAGATGGGGGTAAGGATTAGGAAACAAATTTGGCATGGTAGTTTGTGTATAAGGAGCATTGATGCTATTAAAGTTTGATAGTTAAAGGCCAAAGAAGTGGGGAGATAGAGGGGGCAGTCAAGTGTCCTATCTTGAGTGGGATTGGACTTAATGAAGTGTTTACTTGTTATTAACATTTACAATTTTTTTATGAAACTCATCTTTACCCTCAAAGTTAAACATTTTGCCATTTTATAATAATTAATAATATAAAAAGTTTGTAATAAAATCTCATAACAGATGGCACCACACAATTTTAACTTTGTGCTAATGTGTATCAGTATTTTTCACCAGGAAAGTTATACAACTTGTTGCTGGATTTTTTGTTATGGATTAAGTACTGAAGTGATTCAGTCAAGTATTTAATTAAAAGTGAACAAATGTAATTTATTTTATCTTTTGTATTCTGAAAACAAGATTGTTATAAAATGAAAGATTTATATTTCTAAATTTGTAATTTTAAGTACAGTTGAGATCATTGCATTGAACATAATTACTATATGCAATGTGCATGCATGCACATGCATGCTCAACTAATTAATAAATTAAGTTACAAATTGTCAAAGATTAAATTTAACATGTTCACTATCAGTTGACATACTTTTGCCTCATGTGATCTTCACATGATGCAAAATCACATCAATTGGCAGTGAACATGTTAATTAACATGCAAAAGTAATGAGCTCAATAATATGAGTAATAATTAATTATTTTTCAGTGTCATACTTGCTCATGAAATATCTGCTGTCATTTCACTTGGTCATGAAATCAGTATACAAATTTGTAAGTTTATTATTATTATTATTATTATAATAAAACATTATA